CCAGGAGATTGATGCATTGTATTTTAGTTGTGATTTTTTTTACTTAAAACTCTTCCCTATTATTAAGTTTAATAGTAAAGTAAACATGTTTGGGCCTATAGGACTTTTGAGAGAGACTGTAGTACCGAAGGTTACATCAGAAGCTGGACACCATGGCATGTGTCTCAGCTACTCAAGTTGAGCTGTGGAGTTTGATATAAACCTGAGCAGCGTAGTGAGTCAGTCAGTGTCTGTCTTGCCCTCTTTCTCACTGTCTCTTGTCCCTGTCTGTAGCTGTCTTTTGCCACTTTGTGGGTTCTTCTTTTCCACCCTCCTTTTACCCTTATTCCATCCTTTCAAGCCCTTAACACTAGATAGGAGAGAAAGAGATCCCTGAATCTAATTTCTTTCTTTTGTTTCTTCTTCAACTATGACTACCTCCAAACAGGAACCAAACCAAATGACCAGCAGTGACCACCCTGGGGCCCTAACCTTTATTTACCCTCTGAAAAGTACCCAGAATTCCAAATGCCACCTAATTGCAGAAACTATCTGCAATTATTTGCAATATTAATATTGCAAAACCATGCCTCTGCTAGAGCACAAGGCAAATCATAGTCAGCTTCTAGGGACACTGAAGCAGCCTCACATCTCACACAATATTCTTACAATATTTCTGTGTTTTTTTAAAGAAACCAAAATACTCACAACATCTGTCTCTGTCTCTGACACACACACACTCTTTCTCGCTTTCTCTTTCTCTCTCTCTCTCTCTCTCATTCACACACATGTGTGCACACATGCACGTGCATGCAGCCCAGACAAAAACATTACGCCAGAGCGTCCTCAGCTAGGGAATGGGCAGTGACAGCTAGTCCGTCTTGTCAGCAGCTTGCCCCCTGTCTCCGTCCTCTGTGCTGAGTCTCAGCATCCCTGGTACTACTGTTCTGAAACGAGCACTTACACTTCCTCCACATTTAGTTGTCATATCAGTTACTTTTATCATTGCAGTGACAAGATGCGTAATGAAAGCTACCTAATGAAGCTTTGTCTTACTTTGTCTCATTTCTGAGTGTGTAACCCACTGTGGCAGGAAGGCGTGGTGGCAGAAGTATCTGGCATCCTCTGTTAGGAAGAAGAAGAAAGAGGTGAATTCTGGCGTTCAGTTCACTTTTGTCCAGGGCCCCAGTCCTTAAAGTGATGACACGGACATTAGAGTAGGTCTTCCCACCACCGTTAACCCAGTCTAGAAATTTCCTTACAGGTTTGTCCCCTAGGTGAATCTAGATCTGTCCAGTTGACGTGACAGTCCCTGTTAACCATCACAGTTATTTTGTGATCAAGTTGACCTTGTTTTAATGAACAAAAAGTTCTCTGTCATATAAGATTTTAAACGTCATATTAATTCCACTTACAAGATTCTGGATTTTCTACTCCTAGTTTTCAATCCTAGCCAAAGCTGCTTTCACCGCTGCTCTTCGGAATGCCTTTCACATATCTCAGTTGGTCCATAGAAGAGAAAATATATTTGAAAGTCTTGGCTGTCCTGAACTCACTAGCTTTGTAGACCAGGCTAGCCTCAAACTAAGAGATCTGCTTGCCTCTGCCTTTGCCTCTCGAGTGCTGGGATTAAAGGTGTGTGCCACCACCACCTGGTTTTCAGTATGTTTCAAACAGAGTTAGTTCTTGTCTTTAACACTGACTTTAACCATAGCAAGTTCTAAATATATAGTTTATTTATATGTGGTTGGCTGAAAGATGAGTAAGTAAAAAGAATCTGTTGCATAATTTTTGCCGATATCTAATATGCTAACATATAAATTATCAAACAGTACAATGTAAATAACTGTACACCGAATACTTATTCTTCAGTCATTTTAGAAATGAATATATATATGTATATGTGTGTGATATATGCTTATATATCACACACATACACACACTTTCACAAACAAGTTATAAAAGTAATTTATTTCCTGGATGATTTAAGAGTAACTTACTAATTTTGTGACCCACTACCTCTGAATCTATGGTTCCTGGTCCCTTTGGCAAATTTCTATCTCCAGAACTACTTATATTATAATTCATAACAGTAGCAAAATTTGGTTGGGGGGGGTCACCACAACATGTGGAACTATATTAGAGGGTGTCAGCCTTTGGAAGGTTGAGAAGCACTGCTTTAGGGTGTATTTTCTAAAAAGGTGTTATCACACAATTACACAATAAAAATGTCAATTCTACATTTGTAGATTGCTCCTGTACAACTCTCTACAAGCTCTGGAGTTCGGTGCTGTAAATCCCCGGAAAGCATGGAGCCTCAAATCTACATATATACTCCTTGTAAATCATTGGCTGACCCTTAACTTCACATGCAATAGAGGACACTCCTAGGATCCAGTAGAAAACAACGTCTATAGTGGAAGCTGTTGAGTAGATATTTCTGGTCAGATTTGGAGTTTGGGACCTTCGAAGTTAGAGTTGGTTTGATTTATTTGTTTGTTTGTTTGTTTGCGTTTTTAAAAAGCAACAGATTTTCCAATTCAATTCATTCAGAAATGCTCTGCTTTAGTAGTAAATACTATGTCCAAGGCTTTAAGGATTTATCCCAAAATTAAGGGGAAAATTAAACATACCCTCCCTGATAAAACACGGCTTACGTTTCCAGAAGCTCGGGGTATCAGGCAGTGTTTAACTGCACGTTAGCAGAGATGAGCATCATCAGGGAAGGGAGAGTCTGTAGTGAGTGCAGCACACTATATCAGTATTGTGCCAGGTCACCTGTGACGAGACAGATAAATTACCATATGAGAGGGAAAAAATCTAGATGTTGAGGTCAGTAAACAGTAACTTAAAAATCAACTATTTAAGTGTGGTTAAGAAACTTGAAATAGGCCCGTGGAATATCTCAGTTGTTAAAGGAACTTGCTGCCAGGCCTGAAGTCTTGTGTTCAATTCCTGGAACCCATAAAATAGAAAGAAGGAGCAGACTCCTGCACCTTCTTCTTTGACCTCCACATCCAACCTCTCCCATAAAGGTGGAAGGAAAGGAACCAGTCCCATGGAAACGTCCTCTGACTTCTACTACGCAGCTGTATCCTGCAGTCCTTTATTCTGAGCCAGGGTCTCACTGTGTTACCAAGACTGGCTCAGACTCGAGCCTTAAAGTCACTCAGCTTTAAAGAGCTCTCACCTCAGACATCTGTTTTCAGTCAATGTGTTCTTTGAGAATAAAGATAAAACAAATATACATTTGGACAAATGAAAAATTAGGCAGTCCCTCGTCAATATAAGTACACTATTAAAATGCTGAGAATTTTTAAACTAAGAGACAGAAGTATTAGATAGAAAGTTGGTTCTATAAAAGAGATGAAACCTCTCAAGTAATAAAATAAATAAAAGATGGTTGACTGTGGTTTTATACTGTATGTAGTGGTTTAACATGTGATTGCAATATGCAAAGGGATAATTACCGTACATGGGTGATATTTCAAGATTATTTGCTTGTTAATAACTTCAAGTTGTGATAATTTGAGGATGCATATTGTGATCTCTAAGCCATTGAATTAAAGCACTGAAAAATATTTTACTGAAATCAAAGCAGTGAAAGGTAAACAAAACTAAAAAGGGGCAGAAATAGTAGGAATAGGAAAGATTTAAATGCTAAAACATTTTGCACCCAAGCATTTCAGAATTTACATTAAGTATAAACGGTCTAAACTCTCCATTAAGAGTCAAATTTCAGAATATATAAAGACTTAAGGCCATAGCTATGTCATATCTACACTGTAAAGGTTGAATTAAACACAGTTTATAGCACTTTCCTTTTATGTTTTCATTTTATGTCTATTATGCTTGGTCATCTGCAAGTCCAAGAATAAGGTATTCAGCAGAAATAATTTGGGGGAGGGGGTTTACATGCAGGTACCGTAGGGGTAGCTAACACCTGCCCTTGGGAAATTACTTTTTTGTCACTGAGTACTTTTTATACTCAATTTTAAACCTAGAAGTTGCTTAAAGTACATTTTTCTTTTCTAAGGACGTACAGTGGAAAGACGACTAAATAATTCTGTCGCCATTCTTCAAGACGTACATATTTTGGTAATCCTTCCATCCTGCTTAATACTGTGTCACATTAATGTTTAAACACTGTAAAACATTAAGAATACCACAGCTGTGTTCAATTTAGATAGCTTTTGATAGAGCTATGTTCCAAAGCCTCTCTTTTTTTAGAGTGCTTTTTAAATTTTAAAATGTATTGGAAGGTTTAATTTTATACTATGTAAGCATAATCAGAAATCATTTTGTATTTTGGTTGTGAGCCTATCCATTAACGGCTGAGCTATCTCTCAAGCCCCAGGAATCATTTTAGAGTAATAATAGTCATCTTTCACTTTCTCTTCTAGTCACTTTTTTATTGGTGTTGTGCCAAAACCAAACTAGGGGGGTTTGGCCAGTTTAGAACTCTTAAATTGAATGCCCAAGAGTCAGAAGTAGATAAAAAAAATTGGTAATTTTTATAACTACTTTCAGCCTGTTTATAAATATATTTTATGTTTAAATTTCACATTGCTAACTGGCTAATTAAATATTCACTGGCTAATTAAATATTCACATTTGGAGATATCTGGAACAAATATTTTCCATTCAATAGATACCCACATGTTTCTTGTAAAATGAGTCTCCAAGGACAATCAAATGACTTTTTCCAAAATCTTTGACATCAGTATTTTGGTTCTTGAAGATAACTTGTTTTTTGTAAGTATGACAGGGTAGTTCTTAGGTTTCCAAGGTTGCATTTGTCTCCACCTAAATAAGGAGGTTACATCTTAAGTTAATTACATGATTCATAACTGCTGAATGAGGGTAAAATTCATAATATCCAAGGACAAAGAAATAATCCCAGTGTATTTTAAATTACTCTGCCTTTTATCTGACATGTTCTCTCTTCCTCCCTCTCTCTCTCTCTCTCTCTCTCTCTCTCTCTCTCTCTCTCTCTCTCCCTCTCCCTCTCTCCCCTGCAGTAAACATTGGCACCTTCAGAATACAGGAATGAGAGGCAAGGAAGAAAGGACATTCATCATAAGAAGATTTGAATCGCTTTGAAACTGTAAAGGGATGTAGCACCTGCTGCCAGGCTACCTTGGTCACCAGAATGAACGAAGTGCTTCAGCGTTAAATGGTAACCACAATTCTCCTATTATGTCGTTCCACAAACGTTTTAGAGCACTTGAAAGACTCTAAGTTGAACTGTTGATCATACAGCTACTGTGGAAGAACCTGTTAACCTTACAGCCTGATGGTGTTGGGCTTCTTTGGTCCTTACTGGTTGTTTTGAAGAACCGCTGGGTTTTATTCCTCCTGCTTCTCAACAAGAAACGGAAGCTTATTTGAAAAGCAGTGAGGTCTTTACTGTCTGTGGTCTTTACTGTCTGTCCTTCCACCCTTCGGCAAGTATGCTCTCCCTTTCGAAACAGTAAGCTCAGTGCCCTAAGGATTTAGTAGTTCTTTCCATGGACAGTTTTCTTCAGAGTTATATTTTAGTTTCCTTACTTGATATCAGATTTGTTCTTTTATGTTTGAAGTTTTAAGTTAATATTTAGTTTGTTTTTGGGCCTTTTTTACCTTAAAAGAAAAAAAAAGAAGAAGAATTCAGGAATTGAACAGGAAAGGCATGAGCATCCAGAATAGAAAAAAACCTTCCTTTTGAAGAGACTGAACCTTTTTCTTCTCTTGATATTCAAAAGCCTGTTAGGTGGCAAGCAGGGCTGACAACACATTTGGAAAGACTTGGAATAATTAGTTGCTTAACTCTTGATCTTAGGCCAAAATTGTTTGAAATACATGTTTATAAAGATTCCTGTTTGCAGCTTTTCCTGGCATGCTAATCACACTTTGTGTGCGGTCTGTGACTATGTGTGGATGTGTATCTGTGTATGCGTTCCCCAGGTTGACATCAAGGGTCTTCCTCAGCGCTCCTCCCCTTAGAGACGGAGACAGTGCCTTTGTCTCCTTTCTTTTGCAAAAGCAATTCAGGGGAGAAATTTTCAGCTGTCAGTTTCAGGGTAGAGTCTCTCATTGCAGGAATCTGAAGTAGCTAATCACATCCATAGGAAGAGCACACAGGAAATGAATGCACGCTTGCACATGCTCAGCTCAGCTTACATTCTCCACACTCAGGAGCTTCCTGCCTAGGGAACAGTGCCATCCCATAGTGGGTAGGTCTGCCTTCTGCCTTAGTTAATGTAGTCAAGATAACGCCCCAAAGATACAGCCTCAGGCTAGTCTGATCGAGACAGTTCCAGAAACTGGCTTCCCAGGTGATTCTAGGTTGTTGTTAGTTGGTAATTAAAATGAACCACCAGAAGTAGAGACTCTTAGTAAAACCCAGATCTTGCCAGTTTAACTAGGCTAGCCATTTGCCTTCTGTTGATCTCCCAAGCCCTGGTATTATAGGAGGGCTGTTACACCTATGTAGCATTTATGTAGGCATTCTGAATTTGAATGCACATGCATCTTCATACTTACAAGGCGAATGCTTAAACAACTGATCTATCTCTCTAACCCCTAACAGTAACTTTTATTGTCACTGGTTGTCATTTGATTTTGAATGGCGACCGTTTGCTTGCTTGAGTGCTGTGTATGAGTGAACGAGGATAATTGACTACATCTTCTTCCCTGTTGTAGAATTCAGGGGATGTGAAAAGCTCGTCAGTGGGCAATATTGTGTACTAGTCCTGACGATTCTGAGAATCGTAGGACTTGTTTTAAGGAAATCATTTAAGTTCATGAATAATGTACCAAAGCATGAATAGGTGTTCTAATTACTATATCCCACACTGACTTAAATTAAAGAGAAGATTTAAAGACATTCTCCAATTCTATTTGTAATTAGAGCTTTTCTGTGACCTTGTGTTTCATAGCCACATAGTCACATTCATTGCTTTGTAAATGTCCAGTTAATTCTTTCTGGTCTTCAGCTACTATTAAAAAACAAAACAAACAAAAAATGTTAAGTTCTAGAGATCAACCTCTCAAGCACAACAGAAATTGAAGTACTCAGCGTTCACTCATTCAGGTATAATATTACACGGAAAGCAAGGATATATATCCGTTATTAAAGTATTATCTTGCATGCTTTAAAAACTACTGAACTTGCTATCATGGTTAAAATATTAATAGAGAAGAGTTTAAAACTTCTTTGCAAAGTAAAGCATAAGTTCGTGTTCCTTCTTACACCTAGCCCAGGTCTGAAGTTGTGTCCCATATCAGGAGATACATAGAGTAAAAAACAATTTATATGTTTTCAATTTATATGTTGTTATCTAAGCTAAATGTCTTAAATATAAAAGCTAAAAAGATTTGAAGAAGATTTAGTTGTTGAAATTTAGAATCAAAGAATCACAAAAAAATTTACATTTTCAGTTCAACAAACTATCATGGCTTGTTTAAAGAACTTAAAATGTAAAGGGTGACATTCTAGCTATGTAATATTAAGGTTAAGGTTCAGTCAAGCTTAACTTTAATGTTTAAGCTAAGTCAAGCATCCAGTTTTAAGTTCATTTCATTAGCTGTAAGCTATGGTCCTTATGAATGGGGAAAAGTACACTGAGAAGCTTTAGAACCTGCAACTTGTAAAGTTGAATAGACCTCAGAAGCATCCATTACATTACTTAAAATTAGGAAAGCTACCCAAATAAAAGGAACCCCATGTTTAATTTTCTCAGTCAAAATAACTTAAAATAATAGTAATTAGTGTTAGTGAATGCTTATTGTATGACAAGCATTGAGATTAGCCCTTAATATGCTGTGTGTTAGCTACTTTTCTATTGCTGTGATAAAACACCATGTCGAAGACAATTCATACAAAAAAAGTGTTTACTTGGGCTTATGGTTCCAGAGGCTTAGTGTCCATGCTGGCAGAGCAAAGGCATGGCAGCAGGAAAAGGAAGCTGACAGCTCATATCTTGAACCCCAAATAGGAAGCTTTGAGAACAAACTTGAAATGGCAGTCTTTAAATTCTCAAAGCCCACCTCCGAAACATGCTGCCTCCAACAAGGCCGCACCTCCTAAGCCTTCCCCAACTAGCACCATCAGTAGGGACCAAATATTCAAATGCTAGAGAAGATAGATATATTTTTAATTGAAACAATCTTTATACAATATATTCCGATCACAGTTTCCTCTCCCCCAACTGCTGCCAGATCGTTGCCACCCCCTCATCCCCCAACTCCATGATGGATCTTTCTCCATCTCTTTAGAAAACAAACAGGCGAACAAAAATCAGAATAATTATAGTAAAAAGAAATACACACACAAGCAGTCTTTAACAACACAAAATCAGAAACCATAATATACAAGCAAAATGCCAGTAAAACAAAAAAGATGCCCAAAGCATTTTAAAGCAGTTTGAGACAAGTCTACAAAAATGCCAGAGTCTGTTTGGTGTTGGCTACCTACTTCTTCTAGGCATGGAGCCTGCTCTTAAATGTGGCTAATGTGCCTAGTGAGACTCTGCTGGAGAAAACTAATATTTCCTTTCCAAGTAGATGTCAGTTGGAGATAGCTTTTTGTTTAGGAGTGAGAGCCTCTGTCCCCTTCCCCTCTCAGTACTAGGAGCCCATCTGACTTGAACCTGTGCAGATCCTGGTCCTGCTGCCACAGTCTGTGAGTTCCCATGTGCATCAGTCCCGTGGTGTCTGGAACACATCGCTTCCTTGGAATCATCCTTCCCCTCTAGCGCACAGTCTTTCTGCCTCCCCTCCTGCATAGCTCCCTGAGCCCCAAGGAAAGGAATTTGATGAAGACATCTCATTTAGTACTGAGTGTTCCAAAATTGTTTGCTCTTTGCACATTGAGGACATTTTATTCAAACCAGCATATGCTGCTTTAGACTATTTAGGTTGCTTTAAAAAAAAAAAAAAGCCTTTCTCTAGATGACTTAGAAACAGCAGAAATTTGTCTCTTATGATTTCCGAAGGCTAGAAAGTCTGTGATAAAGGCACTCATGGACTAGCGTCTGGTGAGAGCAGCTATCTTGGCTCATGAATGGTTTCTTGTCACCGTATTTTTACAGAAGGCACAAACAGGTTTCTAGCCTTCCTTGTCTGAGGGCACTAATCTGTTAATCAGGATGCTACCCTCTTGACCTAATTACCTGTCAAAGGCCTCTCTTCCAAGTACTAAAACACTATCGACTTAGAATGTGGGAGACATGTAAGTGTTGATTCTGTGGCATGTGCATTATGCTTAACTCCCCTGACCCTGTGTGACTTAGGTTTTATTGAAGAGTACTTTTACTTTTATGGGAAATTTATCCTCAAGAATGTAATTGAATTGATCACTATCAAATGACTAAAGATAGAGCTAGGTCAGCCTGACTCTATACCCTGAACTCTTAGCCATGAGTTTATTCTACCTTGACTTATTCTACTTTGTAAAGATTTAAACAGAACCTATAGGACTTGTTTCTGTTGTACCTAGTTGCACATGTGAGAAAGTCTTGCCATTAGCAGCATTCTTGTTGCAAATAGGCAAAACTCTCTTGGAAGATGTATAGTTGGATTTTCTGAAGCATTTGTTTTACTTTATCAGTAACTTAAGAATCTTTTTATTTCCTCAATAACTTAAACATATACTCAGTATGTATAATTATAGAGTATTATATTTACTGTGGACAGTTGGGAAAGGTAATCACCAAAACACCAGTTAATGTTGAGTAACAGATGTGTGGCCAATTTTACATTCCTTATAACATTACAGAAGTTTTTAATGTTTGCATCCAGCTTGCGCCTTAAATATTATAAAAGAAATGTTACTTTTATTTTATATACAAATGTAACCAAAACTTCAGTGATATTCTCTAAGTCAGTAGTGAAGATGTGTTTTTGAGATATGACTTTGTGTTTGCTAACTAGTGTGCCACTGACACCTTAAGACCTGTGTTTTACAGGAATGCAACCATCATTCTTTAGTTTCAGATGTATTTTTCTAGACTTTTGTTGACACGTAGCTACTCTTAAGTCTTAAAAATTCTTTGCTATTGGGGTAATTGCCACAGAAATACTTTACAGTAGAGTAAATTACTAAGAAATGAATGTATCGTGGAGAAAGCCTGCCTCTCTGCTTGCATGCCCAGCAAGGTGGCGCAGAACAGTACTGCACAGAAACACTCT